GGCTCAGTGGTTGAGTGTCAACCTGTGAACCAGGAGGTCATGGTTCTATTCTGGTCAGGGCTCATGCCTGGGTTGTGGGCTTGATCCCCAGTGGGGGGCGTGCAGGAGGCAGCCGATCCACGATTCTCATCATTGATGTTCCTATCTCTCTCTCCCTCTCCTGTCCTCTCTCTGAAATCAATAAAAACATATTAAAGATATATATTTTAAAATATATTTTATTGATTTTTTACAGAGAGGAAGGGAGAGAGATAGAGAATTAGAAACATCGATGAGAGAGAAACATCGATCAGCCGCCTCCTGCACATCTCCTACTGGGGATGTGCCCGCAACCAAGGTACATGCCCTTGACCGGAATCGAACCTGGGACCCTTCAGTCCGCAGGCCGACGCTCTATCCACTGAGCCAAATCGGTTTCGGCTAAAGATATTTTTTAAGCCAACATTTGAAAATGGGGATATTTTATATAAAATTCCGAATTTCCAGTTTCTTTAAAAAAAAACAAAACAACCCAGAAGATCTGGCAACACTGGGCTCATTCCCACATAGCCATACCTGGTTGAAGCTGTGTCAAGGTTGCCCCCTGAGAGGGGGTGCGATCCCTGCCCCCACAGTCCCACCGATTCCCCATGTGTCCCTGGCACAGAGGTCAAGGTCTAGCTGCCCCTGTAGCAGCACAGAACTCATGCTGGCTCTACTTACACCAGAGGAATACTTCTTTGTGCCGCCTCCATCACACAAGGGGAAATGAAAGGAAACAACAAAGGAAGTGGCAGAGCCCCGGCTTTTGAGTTGACAGTCCTGACAAGTAGGACATCCATCCAGCATCTCTCTGCCCTGGCTACCGTGCAGGGGGCCACTGCTCATCCCTTCCCCAGCTGGCCCCTCCTCTGGGCCTTAAGCCCCTTCTACTCCAGCAGGGTCAGGGGCCAGGCCTCTGACAATCAGGCTACCCCTACCCTCCCTGGTGGTGGGGCTCTCCCTGGGGCTTCTCTGGGCGGTCCCCAGTTGCTTTCTCCCTCCTGCTACCACCGACCAGGGTCCTGGCGGGAGGTGGCCAGCTTGGTGGGAATTCTGTAGGAGGAGCAGCCATGTCCATGACCCCTGCCTTAGGACAAAAGAAAAGGGGCAAGGATGCGCCCCCTCCCCTAGAACCAGAATTCACCAGCAGCCCCATCTTCCCACCCAAGAAGCCCCCTACTTATTCCTCCCCGACCTCTTCAAAGAGCAGTGCAGAGGCCAAGCCAGCAAAGCTGGGTCTTGGTGGATGTAGCACAAGGGAGGGGTGGGGGCCACAGAGCACGTTTCGGGTTAAGTTCCAGGGAATCTGAGCAAGAGACCTGGGCAAGGGAATGTGTGGCTTTGAGAGAAAGAGACCCAGGAGCTGAGAGGAAGCAGTTCTTGTTGTTCTCATCATACATTTATTGGGTGCTTACTGTGTGCCAGGAAGTAAGCCAGGCGCTAGAAACAGCAAAGGGGCTAGAAACAGCTACCAGGTCTTCAGTAACACTGTACGGACCCTGGTTAACACAGGGAACAGAGGACCCTTCACGCACAGCCTCAGGGCCTGCTGGGTCCTTGGATGGGGCCTGCCTGGGTCTTTCCAGCAACAGAAAGGGAGGCAAGACCCTCTCCCTCTTCCCCATCCAGGTAGCGAGGCGCACAGACAAGCCCCTACACACTCCTCTAAACACATTCATACCTAATATGTGAGCATACACACACACACACGCACACGCACGCACATGCACACGCACGCACGCACACGCACACGCGCACACATGCACACACAGGCACACACGCGCACACACACACACATACACACACGCACACACATACACACACGCACACACAGCCAGGCAGTTATACAAGGAGGTGGCATGGAGATGCTATCTATGAGCCGTGATCTGAGCGCCCCAACATAAATCCGTCAGAGTGCCTGCATGTTTACCATTGAGAGATTACCTTGAGAAGCTTTTTGGCCAAGTCTCTTACCAAAAATGTGAAAAACACAAAAGTGAACAAGGGGACTTCTTATGGCTTTTTGCTTAAAGAGGGCTTCTGAGAGGGGCAGGGGCAGCGGAAACAGACCCCACTTCCTGTCTTGGCTACAAGTCTGTCCTGGCCAGAGCTGCCCAAAGTAGGTGTTCTATTAAACTGGTGGGGGTAGAGGAGTGGGGGTGCCCTCATCTCCTGTGCTATCTGCACTCTTCCAGGGTCATACAAATACTGCTGCCCCTCGTTAGGTGTCTATGAGGTGTTAGGTTTACTACTGTGCAAACGCTTTATGTCCGTGTTCACCGAGCCTCGGAGTGAGGGTATGATCTCCACTTTACAGAGAAGGAAACTGCAGCTCAAGACTTGCCTAGGGTCACGGATGCCGTGTGGTGGGGCATCTAACCTCTGCTCATGCCCTGGGCACGGGGAGATGGAGTCTGCCAAGGGTCCCAGTGACTGACTTCAGAGCCCAGGACATGCTGCCTGGAGACCTGGCGGGCCACCCCATGGGGACGCTGCTTCTCCTTCATGGCATTCGGGCAGCCCCTTCATGGCATTCGGGCAGCTCCATCCTCACTCCAGGGTTGGGGTGAGTTAGGACATAGGGGCAAATGGGCTCACCAACCCCAGGGAGGTTATGAAAAACCAACCCCCTGACTCTGGGGGTCCTGGGCTCCTCCTCCTCATAATCCCACAATCTATTTGGAACAGATAGGGCGCCTCACTGCCCCAAGAGCCCATGAGAACTTCTCATATTACCCTCCAGAGGGCGCTATTGCTGAAACAGCCCCGAAGCTCAATCCTGTTGAGACTTCTCAGAGCTCCCTGGCAGAGCCCCTCACCCTAGGGTGCCCGCAGCTGACCCCTCCTCTCATCACAGCCTGACCCCACCACCCATCATCCACTCCAGCTGCATATCTGCTCAAATTCTGCTCCCAAGCTGATATTCAAGTACGTTGAAAACTTCACTGAGCTGAATGCTTCTGCTGCTGTCTGAGGCAGTCCTGCACATGTACCCCGATTACTGGATGTCCCCCCATTTTCAGGTCCCTTGGGGTCCAGGGCCAGGATGAGGAGAGATGTTAGCGGAGGTTGTTTGGAGCAGGTTGATACTGGGTACAAGAAGGGAAAGGAGATGGAGCAAAACAGAAAGGCACCTGCAACCCTGTGGCCTTCAGGAGGGTTGGGACCTTCCCCAGCACAGGTCCAGGCAGCAGGAGCTGCAGACAGAGGCCAGGAGGTCTGGGGGAGGCCAACAAAGGAACAGCTTGACCTGAGTCTAAGGGGACTAGAGAGGAGAGGGGTTCCTGACAATACTTCTGAGACTGGCCCCGCCCCTTCCTCACTCTGATTGAAGCCACTGGCCTGGCATCACTTCCTGCTCCTCCCCACCAGGAGCTTGAGGACAAAGGGAAGATGGAGGGCCATGGCCACTTGGTGCTCCCTGCCTTTGATCAGCCCGTGGTCCTTTTCTCAGCCAGGGCACTCCTCTCAAGAAGAGACCTTCACTTCAGGCTTGGGGTGACCAGAGAATTGCTCCCTCAAGAACCCATCTGCCTCCAGGGCCAAGGTGACTCTGCTGAGTAGAAGTCATCCCACACTCAGAGGACTCTCTCGACTCTAATAAGTGGGGCCTGGGTTTGCCTCTCAGCTCCCAAAGCCTGGTGGCCCTGGGGCTATGCTCCAAGAGGAATGCCCTGGCCTAGCGGGCTTTCTTTGGTTACTCCAATGATGTTAACGCCCATAAGCAAGTCCTGGCTCTAATCTTGTACAAATCACTCCACCTCCCTGGCCTCAGTTTTTTAAAACTGTAAAACAGAAATAAGATCCATTTAACTCTTGCATGATTCAGTGATGATAACCCATCACTCCTGTACAGTCAGAGTAGAATGACTGGCGGATGTGGGTGCAGGTGGTGGCCGACCCATCTGGTACCCTGCTCCCATTTCATACCTCCAATCCCTATGCACTGCTGGCCCTACACTGATTTGACCCTGAACTCTTTTGTCAATGCCTCCTTCTTTCCGAAAAGTGCCCACACCCTGTGGGTGGGTGGGAGAGAGGCAGCAGCCCCTACTTTGGGTGCTCCGGGGACAGCACAGGTCTTGTCTGTAACCTCATGTTTTCCCAGCTGGAGGGGCCCTTGCTAATCCACATTTCCCCAAACTGTACTCCTCTGTCAGTGGATCTCAAACTTTGGGGAGGCACCAGAATCACCAGGTGGGGCTTAGCAAAATCTAGGCTCCAGAGTCCCTCTACGTCAAAGCCAAGACCTGGAGTTTATATGTTCAACACCAAGGAGCTCCATTGGGCCGCACATGGAAGACGGCTTGCGGACTGTTAAAGCCACGCCTCCCCACGCAGCGTACCACCCTCCCTCCTGGAGGGCCAGTCCATGAGCATGCCAAAGAGCGCTGCAAGTGCTTGCTGCAAAGAAACATGCCTGACTTGAACTCAGCATTCCCCAAATTTGACTACAAAACTTTTAAAAATTTAGCATAACCATTAGACTTCACATAACTAGTGTTCTGAGTTAAGTTTTGGGAAATGTTGTTCTTGTTCTTTTTAAAACATGTGCTTAAAAAATTTATTTACTGATTTGAGAGAGAGAAGAGGCTGGAGGGCCACATTCTCTCTGGGGGTGGGGGGGAGGAATATCAATTTGTTGTTCCAGCCATCCATGCATTCATTGGTTGACTCTTGTATGTGCCCTGACCAGGGATTGAACCCCCAACCTTGGTGTATTGGGATGATGCTTCACCCAACTGAGCTACCCGGCCAGGGTTTAAAATATGTTTTAAACAAATGTTTTGTAATTGAATTTATTGGGGTGACATTGGTTCATAAAATTGTGTAGGTTTCAGCTGTACAATTCTGTAATACATCATCTGTGTGTTCACTACTCCAAGTTATAAACAAACATTTTTGGTTTTGTTAATATTTGAGTGGACTGAAGCCTAGGAAGGCGTGTTCAAGATGCTTAACTGTTGACACAGACCTCGAATGTGGGCCTGGATCTGCCCCTTCCTGTTCTCTGTCCAATCCCCCCACCATGTTCTGCCTCTGTCTCTTTGCGTCTGAGGCTCTCCTGGGATTGAACTCAGGAGGAACCCTCAGGATAGTTGACCGGTGACAGGAGAGCTGAGCAGGGGACCAAAGGGGCCAGGATTAGCCTGTTTGGCTGGGAGAAGCAGCAGAGGAGGGGGTCGTCCCCTTCGAAGATGTCTGCACAAGTCCAGGTGGGGGTGGAAGGGGTCTTTTCCCAGCCCTTCCCCTCCCAAGCTGGCAATCATCTGGAGAGATTGTGAGCAACTGGGTACGACTGGGGCTGGTCAGTGGTAACAAAACTTGTCTTGCCTCCTCCAGCTCAAAACAGGCATGTGTAGCCCTTAACTGATGTGCTAGCAGGGACGACCCTAACAGGAGGAAAACTGACTTATTGCTTTATAAAAAGGAGTCTGATAAAACAACAAACAAAAACTAGAAACCTAAAAATCCACCCACCCCTCTCTGCGCTCCCAGGAAGTCCCAGACACATTTCTGGGGCAAGTCCTGGTGGGTGGATTGGTAAATCAGGCCCGCCTGGCAGAGGAAGGGAGGCCTCCCCTGTAAACAGCTCAGGGCCCTGGAGGAGTCTGCCAGCAGGGGGCGTGGTGGCTCCACAGCCGCCCACAAACTCCCAGATGAGCCAGGCTGGCTCCTGGGCGGCTCTGGAGAATAACAGCAGATACCCAGAGCCCACACCCTACCACCACCCCACACACCTCTCTCACACACAGCACATGTACACACCTACACATACACAAACACCCAGGCCCCTCACTATCTACCTCCCCACCAGGCCTGGCCCTCCGGTCTATCAACCACAGCCTCACTTCCACCCCCACAACAATAGCTGTGTTGGTGCCCCTTTAATTCCCTTCAGGTCACGGACTGGATGACAGCGGCAGCACAAACTTGCTCTCCACTTAGATCCCGAGGTCCTTTGTCCCTGGCTCCTGAGCCCAGTGTGGCCCCCCATCCCTCCCCAGGCTGTCAGCCAGGGGGCTTCTCCACAGGCCTCAAACGGAGGACAGGCCACGGCCTGGCCACAGGGGGCTGGCATCACAAAGGAGTTAGCACCAACAACAGGAAGCGGGTCCTTCCTTCCTCAGGCAGCCTCAGACGGACCAGGGGTGGAGATGAGGGGCCGGCGAGGGGGTGCAGACAGCGCAGGCCTTTGTCCTCAGGCAGGCGTGGTGGGTGGGCATGCAGCCGAGAGGCAGGTGGTAGGCAGTGAATGGCAGGTCCCTCGGCTTTGGCAAGAGGCAGAATCCAGATACTGGAGGGAGAGAGCCTGACTGTCAGGGGTCCTCCTGGCTCCTCCTGCAGGTACCAGGGAGCCTCAAGGCTCCAGGGCCCCTCAAAGGTGGCAGAGCCAAGCCCAGGGCAGCCCTCTTCCAGCAGCAGGAAAACCCCCCGCGCGGGCCCTCCCCTGTCCTTCCACAGCAGAGCGCCAAGGCAGGACCAGGGCCCCGGGAGGGCGCACGGACTCCAGCGAGGTGGAGGAGAGGCTCCTGGGGGTGCGTGGCGGTCCTCTGGGGTGGGGAGGAGGACACTGGTGAGTCACTGAAGCAAGGGCAGGAGGCCACAGTTCTGAGGTGGTGGGCACTACACGAAAGCCTCCTGGTTGGAGGAGCCGTTGAGCTTGAGGAACAGCTTGTCATCTTCCCTCTTCTGCTGCAGCTGCCTCTCCAGCTGGCGCCGGTAGCAGATGAGGTAGAGGGGGAGGCAGAACCCCAGCAGGCTCATGACCAGCAGCCCCACGTTCACCTGGGGCGGCAGGGATGAAAGTTGCCGTCACGTGGGGCAGGGGACCAGGTGGGGGCTGTGGTCTTTTGCAGAATCCAATTCGGGAACCCTTCCTCACACTCAGGTTTGGGGAAGGGGAGAAAGTCACAGGACAGGAGAGGAAAAACAAACTGGAATGTTCCAGAGGCTGGAGGGCCACATTCCAGCACCAGAATTCCCTCCGGGCCTGCCCTCTGCCTCCCCCCACCCCCAGCCCTGACTTCAGACCTACTCATCTGAATCTCCAGGGGGTGGGGCAGGGACAGCAACTAGACTCTTTATCTCAAAATCGGGTCCAGAAAGGGCACTTTTCTCCTCCTGCCCAGCCGCCAGTCACAAGGGGACTCTGATTCGATCTTAACCAAAGTTCCCAAACTTCTTGTCTTTGGAGCTCTGGAAGCCCCAGAGCAATGCCTCTCAGCTCCCACCCAGCAGAGGGGGGCAGATGCCTGTAACCCACTGCCCCCTGGCCCTTCTTACCCACAGAGGGTCTCCTTGGAGGGGACCCATCATGGCCAGAAACAGGGGCTGCTGCAGGAGAGCGAAGAGTGCACTGACCAGAGACTGCAGTCCTGTGAGGCTGCCGAACTGGGTGGAGGGGTACCTGCAGGGCAATAGACAACCTGTCACCGGAAGGTCCCCTCCCAGGCTTTCCAAATGCTCCTGGCCTCAGCCTGGCCCAGGTGCGCTGGTGCCAGACAAGAGGCAGGAACAGCCTCCGAGAACAGCGGGCACCTGCCTGCAGATTCCTTTCTGCTGAGCAGTTGTGCAAAGTGAAATTCTCTTTTGCACCAACCTAAGGCCCCAGACTCTAGGGAGGACCCCACCCTGCCCAGGTGTGCCCTGGGCCTGTGGGCGCCTGGCTGAGCTGAGTGGAAAGTGTGGTGCCAGCGGGAGCCTGGGAAACAGGCCCAGGGAGCAGGATGGAGGCTGGGCTGGCTCTGCTGTGCCCTCATCCAGAGGAGCATTGTGTAATCACGGAAACGCGGCATCAGAGCTCTCAGCGACTGCCTCCGACCCTGCCAGGGCAGCCGCAACTTCCTCCAGGCCTGGGTGGGTGGGGGACAGGCAGACCTGGTATGACCCCCGTGCAATGCTGTTGGGAGGGGGAGAGAGTTCTAGCAAGATCTTAGAAAACATCAGGCTTTGGGGCCCCAGCGGTGAGAAGGGGCTCCGAGTGGGGAACAATCTGATCTTCGGTCAGAGAGAGACAGTGGATGGTGTGTAGGTTGCAATTTTTGAAACTAGCCCCGGCCCAAGGCGGAAGGACGCTGTGGCTCCTGATGCATGGGTGGCCTCTTGGGAGAAGAGGCAGGTTTCACTGTAGCCACACCCTGAAAGGCTGTGCGTAGAGGCAGGCCCTGTGAGATTCTGGGTGAGAACTGTCTGGTATGTTCTGGGCTCAGTTATCCATGTCCCTGCTCCTGCTGAGGGTCATTTGAACGTCACCATTGAGCCTGGGGCAGTCGGAACCCACCCCTGGCCTTCCCATGAGCAACCAGGGCAGCCAAAACTCGGCGGAGCAGTGGCCCCCGAGGCACCGTGAGTTGCACAGAGGTACTGACTGGCTGAGAACTGACTTCGTGTTCAATGCCAAGGCTTGTGGGCATCCAACTGTCTGCCCACTGACCCACCTCCCGCCGGGTCTGGCCTTCCCCTGACACACCCAACGAAGCCCTGGTACCTGTCCCTGATGCAAGAAAATGAGCCCTGAAAGGGCAGGCCGCCCCCCTCAGGACCTTAGTCCCACCACAAACCTCCCATAAGTCACTCCCTCACCCTTTGTCACCAGGCCACCCACAGGTCCCAGGACTTACACGGCGGCGTACAGGCCCCCAATGGAAGAGTGGATGAATCCACGCACAATCGTGTGCAGGATGAAGGAGAGGATCTGAGGGAGGGAGAACAGAGAGTGAGCAGAAGCCTGTGTGGGCCCTCACCTTGGGCCCCTGCCCCAGTTCCTGGGGTCCTGAGCAACGGGGGCACTGTGACCTAGAGTCGGCTCATACCAGCCCTGAGGGCCAATTCCTGAATTTCCAGGAATTCTTCAAGGCAGTTGTTAAACACAGTCATTATGGAAACTGACATTTTATAAACTTACAATTAAACAAATTATATTAAAACCAAAGGTAATGAATACTCAAAACGTATCGCTTCCCAATTATTTTACTATGTGTTACTATGATCTATGTTCTAAAGGTTTTTGTATGCTGGAAGGAGATAGCACATGATGGTGGGTTACTGTGATTCTCTTTCCAACTCCACAACTGGTGCTATCATAATGACTGAAAAATCAGCCACGATGAGAGCAGTTACACCAAGGAAATTGGCAAATGCTGAAAGTCAGGGCTCCCCCCACCCCGCCACGGCCCCACCAAGGGTGTGTTGTGAAATATGTCTCAGTAGCACTAAGCAGGAGGTCACGAGTCATGATTGGATCTCCTGCTATTGCTGACCAAGGACTGTGCCAAGGTCTCCCTGCCTGGTCACTCAGGCCCTAACATGCCTAGGAGAGCTCTGCTGTGTAAGAAGGCTGCTGCTGGCAGGCTTTGCGAGTTCTGAGAAGCCCCTGCTAACGATGTAGAGGTACAAGATCTGTCCACTTGGCCACCAGGACCCTTCGTTTGCTCTTCAGACAAAGCCCTGCCCTCCTCCTCAGCAGCCAGGACTGTCTCTGGAATGTGGGCGGTGGAAGGGGCAGGGGCTACTCTCTGCTGAAGGAGGGCTGTGCCCGAATGTGCAGGCACATACTCGGGCGGGCTCCCCCTTTCCACTTCAACTGCCTTGTTGCTTTTTCATTACTTCTCTTTCAATGAGAACTCAAAAAAAAAAATAAAGTCCCCCACTAAACACTGCCCCTCAGCTGGACAAGGTGGTCAGGGTCTGTCAGTGTTGCAGGGAGGGCAGCCACCAGGAGGCCAGAAGGGCGCCAGGGAGGGAACAACACTCCCATCTGGACCTGGTGCAAGTTTCCAATGGTTTGCTCTGATCTGCACTCACCGGTGTCAGCACAGTCACGCGATATACCCATGGGTGGTGCACACCTGGTATTCAATGTTCCTCAACACGTGGCCACTTGTAAAAAGGAAGGGACTCTTGCTTTCATCTTGGACCTAGCTCAAGATAACATCTGACCTCGGGCTACACCCACCTGGGAGCAATGCCATCACTCAAGTCCCTTCTAAGTTCATAATCTGGGGGGTTGGGGCCAGTACACTTTCATGGACCTAAGGGTAGAGTCAGACGGGTGGAATCTCTGCCAAATGTTAGGTTTCAAAAGCATCAGAAATCTGTGGAACGAAATTAAGCTTCTGAACCCAGATGCCAATCTTTTCCACTCTCTACAACGTCTAGACCTTGTGGGCACTCTTGTATCTGACGGACAGATGTTCCCATGACACCAGATTAGCCAGACCTCTTTGAACCTCAGACTTCAGCTGTTCGAACAACTCAAAATAAGTAGCCACACAACTACCCAGCACAGTTCTGGAAAATGGTGGTGGTATTTGTGGTTTGCAGATGCACAAAAGACCAAGAGGAATGATACACCTTCATAGAGAAGGGTCTTTTGTGAAAGGCAACCCGTGTCAGCTCAGTCCTAGCATTGAGCACAAAGCCTGGCGGGTGAGAGGCTGTTGGTGTCAACAGCAGGAGGCTGGTTGTTTGGTTGGTTGAATGAATGAAAAGCCACCATTCTCTTTGTTCCCTTATAGTCTTGCACCTTTTAGTCTCATTGTACCCTTACCCACCCTGAGCTCTCCCTGTCCCCACACCCACCTGTAGAGGCAGGTTGGGAATGAGACACGTCACCCCAAAGCCCACAAGCAGCACGTTTGTGAAGGCAAAAGCCCGCATGGCGTTGGTGACCTTCTGGATCTGCCGGTCCCGCTTCTTCTTCTTCTCGCCTCTGCAGAGACACAGAGCACACACTGGAGGAGGGTGACGCGGGCTCCCTGGAGGAGGGCGAGCTCTCCCACAAGGCAGCCCCAGGAGTCACGGCTTGCAGACAACTCAAGACTCAGAGACCACCCACACTAGGGACACTCCCACTGCACCCTCTTGACTGAGCGCTGAGCATGACTCTCAGGGGACAGGTCAGATATGAAAAGGTGTTACATCAACACACGGCACGGCTTTCGTGGAGACTGAGCTCAGACGATGAGGAGGGAAGGAGCAGCGTGTGCCCAAGTTAGGACGAGGCAAAGCCTCGCTTCATTATTGGCTTCAACTTCACCCAAATCCTGGGGGAGCTGATGACAAAGCAGGTAACAAATCAAATAAGGGAGTGAGTGCATTTCCCCTTGGGCGAGCAGGAGGTAGTGAAATAGAAACAAATATGCAGCAGATGGAACCGGAATGGGCACAAATAACCTCTTGGCGGTAGGACCTGACCTAGATAACAAAGCATTCTCTGTAATTACTTCCTTGTGGATTCACTAGTACTGGTTCTAGTCTCACCACCCACAGATGCCCATGGACAACTGTGTACCTCCAAGAATGAATGCCAAGTGCTGGGGGATGTGTATGGAGTCTCGGGCCCACCGCTTCCTCACTGTGCGACCTCAGACAAGTTATCCAAACTCCTAGTTTCAGTTCCCCCATCTGTAAAACGGGTTTCACACCAGGACACACCTCATCGAGGTGCTTGAGGCTTAACTGAGATTGTGCATTAAGTGCTTGGCACGGGGCCTGATACAATAAACAATAGCTTATTATATGAAGGTGGAGTCACAGAAGACAGCACTTAACTCATCCTCTGATCTTAGAGCCCAACCCTTGCGTAAAGTAGGGCTCTGGTGCCTTGTTTAAGGCTCATGATCATTAACAAGTCTATTAACACTATTACAGTTACTACTCTCGCCATGGAGTGAGCCTTGTTGGCAAGGCAGCACTGATTTAACGTCATTCACCCATTGTGCTTCTCATGCTAAGCATCGGAGTGTGGTCCTAAAAGCAGAATGGTGTGACCGCACACTCACCTTCCTCTCATTTCTCCTCTTCTTTTATCTAACTCAGTGCTCCCCAAACTGCAGCCTACCATAAAGAAGCCACAGACCTGACAGTGTGCTGAGCTGAGTAAGCCAGTGTCCTAAAGCCCTTGGGAGAGTAGCCTCGGGCACCTCTCTCGCCTCTCCTGCTTGCTTTAAACGCCCCCACACCTGTCCCTGCCTAACATCTGACTTGGGGGGCTTCTTTCTCCGGGGCTGAGAGCCAGGCACAGGTCCTGCCTACGCACTGGTTGGCGTCCTTCTCCTCAGGCTCCTCAGTGGCATCTTCACATTCCTTCATCCTCCAGTCCATGATGTAGCCAATGATGGGGGCCGTCAGCAGGCAGAGCAGCTGGAGCACACCGAAAATGGAGGTATAGAGGCTAACTGGGGAGGAAGAAGGCTGCGTCATGGGGGGCTCCTGACAGAGGCCGGGCGCAGGCACCGGACCAAGTCTGAGACCCCACAGGTCATCCCCAGACCCCCTCGTGTCACTGTGGATCTTGAGGGGAGCCGAGACCTTAACCTCTGAGATCAGAGCTGGCACGAGGGTAGGCACCCTATTCTCTTCTCCAAATGCCCTGCTTGCTTCCCAGAAACAGCTAGTGAAATCCAGTGTGTCACAATGGCTTCCCCAGGCGCTCCAGGAAGTCTCTGACGCGGGAACCACAAAATGACCAAAGCCTGGGCCGGAGGCTTGTGTAAAACTGGCCATTACTTCTCGGCCTTAGAAACAGACCAGGAAGGTGTCACTCACAGGGGATCCGATGTGAGGGCTTCCATCCTCAAAATCAAGCTTAAAATCAAGATGGGATTTTGGGGGGCAAATGGAAACTGAAAGTTGGCTACCCCACCCCACCCACAGTTCTGCCCGAGAGGGATGTTTGGAATTCAAGGCCATGCACTTCTCCATCGAACAGAGGCTGGCTGGGAGGGGACGTTGCAATGCTCCCCGACAGTCCCCCTGCTTACCAGCGGCCATCACTGCATCAAGAAAGCAAAGTGAAAAGGCAGAAAGGAGCAAAGTTAGCAGCCGAAATCTCGAAGGTTGTTACAGGGAAATGGTTGTTACATGGAGGCTGGCTAGCTCTGGGCCCGGCACACATGTCATTTCCCACCTAGACCTGACTCTCAGAGCACCCATGGGTGGCTGAGCTGGAGCCAGGCTTCTAGGAGAGGAGGCGGGAGGGGGCCAGCGCATGCGCCTGCTGACCTTTTACTGTTTGCTGGGGCCTCAGTCATGTGCAGCTGGAGCCCAGTCACAGGTGGCGGGGCGGGGAGGGGGGGGTGTCTGGTGAATCAGGCCTGTGGCTTCCCGAAAACCATGATGGAGAAGTAGTGTGGGTGCAAAAGACTGGGCAGAACTCACTGTGGTGTGGCCCTTTGGGAACACTGCTCTGTCACAGTTGTGCTCCGAGGGCAAGAGAAGTCAAACAATGCATCCCAGCCCCCAGCAAAGCATCCGACACCACGGGTCTCCCCAGACAGCCAGAGCTGGTCTCCTGTCCCCCCAGCGGCTCCCTGACCCCGAAGCCACCCCTCTGGGCACAGTCCGGGCTGTGGGTGTCATGCACAACAGCTCACAGGAGCAGGATGGGGAAAACCAATGCCCTGTCAGCTGCAGATAGAATTTCCTGGCCCAACTTCCTCTACTTCTTGAAACTGACTTTTTGAATGTGGGAAACAGTTGGAAAAGAATTCCTCTTGAGCAGCAAAGGATTTCTCAGAGAACTTGACTCAGCAGCAGGCAGATTTGCCTTCTAAGGGCCACTGAGGACCCTTCTCTGTACACGCTGGGGTCTCCACCGCCCTGGGCCTGAGAGTTTTACAGAGAGGGTGTTGAGACATAACAGATCAGCTTTCCCTAAAGTTCAGTCCACAGATTTTAACAAGTGTTACATAATGAAACCGCTCCTGTGGTAGGCATCTGGGGGAACGTCACTGGACTCAACAAAGCTAAATCAGTCATTTTTTCCTGTAAAAAACAGGGCCTTTCCTATGTCAGCATTCATCATGACATTGTGCAAGGGCACGTGACTGCTTCTCCACGGATGCCCATGTGCACAGTGGAAGCAGTGTTATCGGGTGCCTTCGTCATCTTTCCCATTGTGCAGGCTGGGTTTCTCGTCCCTTTTACAAACTGTATTTGTGTTTGATTCCTTATAATCCCCAGGGAAAAACAATTAAACTAACAAAAAGTTGCACACCCATGATGTTGCCAATAAAAAAGCATTTACCAAATGTGTTTGTGCCGCTCAGGGATGACTAAAGCTGACTCAGCTCAGCCCTGAGGAAGTACTGGCTTTCTTTGTAGCACCAAAACCTCTAATCCGCTAAGGACCTTCTGTGCTGTTTTGGGAAAGGAGTGTGTGGGTTATCAGTTTTGTTTACCAGCCTGAGCAAGTCTGGACTGGAGCACACATGTGAGGAAGCTCCACTGGCCCCGCTGCCAGCCCAGGGCGCTGTTCCCACTGCGGGCCCCAAGGCCCCAGGCTCCAGCCGAGCTGCCCTGAGCCCCACTTGCCACCCCAACACGTGCTCCACACCCCAACACTGCGGTTTCCCAGGGGATTCTTGGCACTGGGTTGGCTTGGCTGTCTTTCACCAGGTTCTCAGGTACTCAGTTCCCAGTCATGTTTTCGTTCACAGACACGTCAACCAGCTCCTCAGGCGATGAAAACATACACCTCACACCCCAGATACACAGTTTTCTAGTCCTCCCTCCCTCCTAAACCGGGAATCTCTAATGGGACTGCGATGAAATGGCTCTGACCAGCAAGGGGTCCTTCGGGCGCTGTCATTTCCCGGCCCAGCCTAATCCCGTCCAGCTGGCCGGGCAGTGGGCTCAACCTCAGGTGGCAGGAGTGACCACCAGTTGGGGGGGGCCCTCTTATGGGGCTGTGCCCCAAGGTCCAGGGCCACCTACCTTTGTCCTGGTCACCGCTGACCAGGAACTTGAGGATGCTGTTCATGGCGCCCATGTAGAAGATGAGCCGCAGCTGGGTGACGCACATGGTGACGAGGCTGAGCAGCAGGATGGGGCTGAATATGCTTTGCATGAAGGAGGGGGCCGCTGTGGGGAGAAGGCCACAGAGGTTCAGGGATAACCGGGGCCCAGATCTCCGTGGCCCACAGCCCACCTGTCATTCTGGGGCCCCGTGTGGGGAGGGGAGGCCGATTTGCTGACCAAATCATTCCATGCTGGATGCGAGGATGGGCCGGTGAGGTTAAAGGTGTGGGAACTAGAGTGGGGTCACCTAGCTGTGTAAAGCAAGCTGGGTGAATCCCTCAACCTCCCTGAGTATATGAGTGAAATGAAGTAGTGACTGATATTTGCTCATCCGTACACCAGGGTGGATGGTGCTGCCTGCCCTTTTGGGGTGAAGTGGGAATTAAGTGAGATGAGACCCACAAAGTCCTCAGTTGGTGCAGGGCTTCCAGATCCGGATTGGCCGCCCCTTCCTGGCTGGGGGTGTGGGTGTGAGTGTGAGTGCGGGTGTGGGTGTGAGTGCAGGTGTCCTGCCAGCGTGTCAGGAAGGCTAGGGCCCCCGGCGGGTACCTGCGGCATCTGGCTTGCACTTCACCTCCAGGTCGACGGTGGACAGGCAGAGCTTGTGGCCCTCCTGCAGTGCCGCTTGCTCCTTGTTGCTCCGCATGGAGCTGCCCACGCTGAGGCGGCGCCCCACTGTAGTCACCTGCTTGTAGAACTGCTTCCCTGTGATCTTGTGGTCAAAGCCCAGCCAACTGAACTTGATCTTCACCCTGGAGGCCACAGGAAGTGTCTGTCAGTGCCGCCCGGGGCCATAACTGGGGTGGGGCTGGGGACAGACAGCACATCTACTTACGAGTAGTCCATGTCCTCTGGCCCTGGGAAGGGCTCCAGAGGCCAGTTAAAGAAGCAGTTGAGGAAAACCAGCCCGGAGCAGCCGGCCCAGACCACGAGGATGATGACGAAGGAGACACCAAAGTCGTAGATGACCTGAAAGGCACAACGGGGCAGGGGCAGGGGCAGGGGCAGAGTTAGCACAGGAAGCCAGGTGGGTAGAGGGCAGGATCATCTGTGCCGAGCTGCGTGAGGGGCACAGCCCGGTCAACCTGGGTGACTGGTCATCAGATACTGCATCCTAAGTACCCCAACTCACCCTGGCATGTCATTGACCCCTGTGCTTCCACCTGGGACCAGGTGTCCTTCCTAGGAGAGGCCTCCACTGACCCCCCCCCCCCCCATCACTGTCATGTCACCGGCTCTCAGTGAGCAGCCCTGGCTGAGAATACTGATGTTTCAATTCATTTACTCGTCCACTGTTAGTTTAGCCCCTGAGAAGAGGGGCCTGTTAGCCTTGTCCACGGGTGTTTCTCCCGCACCTCGAAGTGTACACATGACAGTTGTGAGAAATACCCGAGGAATGAACAGGTGGCTGTCTCACTTTCCTCCTCTGAGAAGTGGGTGCAAGACTGGCACGTGTCCTTATGGTTGTGGTGGGGTCAGGCAGGTGTGACCCTCAGAGTGGCAGGGGAAGCCTGCTGAGCGCAGCGTATTAGCTGTAACTGTCATGACTGCAAGTTATTTCCAGGACCAGCGTCCCCAGAGTCCTGGCAGAAGCTTCCAGCTCCCCTGGGCGGGGACCAGCAGCAGCTCAGCACGGAGACGGGAGGACGAGGCGCATGCAGGCTTCTCTGCACTCGGGGGGGAGACTCCCTAAAAGCCACAGGATGCCTGGCCTGAGGCTCTCCATGCACTTTGATTCCCAGGAGAACAGTCCACACCTGTGACCTCTCCTCATCGATGGCCCCATGCACCCCAGGACAGGGGATTTTACTGGGTGCTGGTGCCAGAGCAGGGAGAAGCCCCTTCTGAAGCCCTGGTAGGAGCAACAGGATCTGGAGTAGGAACTGGGGCTGATGGACTGGGAGGCGTTGGCTTCATCCTGACCCTGTGTGACTCCCATGGGCTCAGAATCCTGCCTGGGAGGGAAACAGCTGAACCAACTTGGCCAGAGCAGCGCTCTGGCTAATGGCGAGTAAGAGCCCAACAACAACAGACCTGGGGGTGGGGAGACTGGAGCTGGACTCAGGATCGGGGACAAACTCACCCATCCCCTTTCTGCACCCGAGCCCAGCAATGCAAAGGCAGCCTGTGGTAATTTTCCATCCCCCAGGCCAAGTGCGTTTCTTTTCTGACTCCCATGGTACCCAGGTGCATCCTCCCAGGTGTGGGTGGTGGGGAGGGGCCCGCCTCCCGCACCCACAAGTATTTCCCTCTTCAGAGAGGGCTGAGGAGCCTTGAGAGAAGCCTCTGTTCAGACACTAGCACAAAATAAGTGTGCTGGAAAGCAGCTGGCCACACCCTCACCTTGATTCCTGGGAAGGTGACTGCTGAGGAGGCATAGGATCCAATCATCAAGGCAATAAACGTGGACCGAAGGTCACCGAACATGTTGGGCAGCTGCAAGACAAGAGGCAAGGGCAACTTCAGCTGAGAGAGGGGCAAAGGATGGGCGAAGGAGGGGAAGAGAGGCTCAAGGCTCATCAGGCACTTTTTCTTATCTGCTCTCCTCCCTTAATTCACAGGTAATTACTAGGAATGGAAAGTTTACTTCCTGGCCTGAGGCTGATAAGGGCAGAGGAGGAGTGCAATGCAGAATTCGGACCCCACATGTAAGGACAGAGCTGTTGGACTTCCTGGCTGGCAACTGTCCCCCCTCTTTGCTGCCACAGGCCAGGGGCCTTCTTGTCTGTACAGGATGACACTGAGATGCAAGCGAGCCGAGCGGGAGACAGGCATCCCTCAAAGGGAGCAAGTCAGTTAAAAATAAGAGTCTATTTGGGGACAAGAGTGTCATTTTTATAAATAAAAATATCAGCGTCCCAGAAGGACCAGATGTCAGCAAAAGCTGCTTTCAGTCTGAGAGTAGATTTCTGGAAGGTGTCAATCAAAATTCTACAGTCCCCTCAGCGCTGACAAGGGCACCGGCCTGGGATTTCCGCTTCTGAATTTCTAAGGGCAAGGAGGGCTTTCCCTTTCCACGGCCCCAGAAACCATCACCTGAGAAGGCCGGTGGCTAAACACGCTCGGGCTCTCCTCCCAGTGAGGCCACTCTTGCATCGCACATAAGTTTATTCTGGGCTCATTTGACATAACTTCAAAGCTAGAACCCTCAGCGATTCCACACAGATCCAGGCATGGTAAAATAGGGTAATGCAGTCACGGATTCAGAGCTGAGGCAAAGCACACATCCTTCCGCGCCCCCCCCCCCGCCCCCCGCCTTCCAAAACAGCCAGTCACTGCTTCTCTCTGGAACCTCGAGGAGGTTCCACCCACACCCACAGTGGCCTCGCACTGAGGATCCCTCTCTGGAAGCTATGCCAGCCTGTGTCATACTATTTATATGTTCCCCTCCCCCACCTGTCTGCAATCATTTGGGGGTTTTAGTAAACATGGTGGCTTGCAAGCTAATCCACTGTTGCTGAACACAAGCAGTTTGAACTTGGCCTCTCATCATTTCTGCCATGTTGCCCACAATTACAATGAATAGGGCATATACCAAATCATCATGTTTTACACTAATACAATGCTATATGTAACTATGTCTCAATAAAACAGGAAAAAAACAAGTAAGGGACATCATCTAAAGTAAAAACTTTGTGCTTCATATCTATTATGATCCTATTCCTAACCTGAATTTCTGTTGAAAAATGTTAATACAGATCTGGTTTCTGAGATAGACCATTATAAGGACAATAGCATTTTTTAAAATAAGTTTTGTTCTTTTTATTGATTTCAGAGAGGAAGGGAGAAGGAGAGAGAGATAGAAACATCAATGATGAGAATCATTGATTGGCTGCCTCATGCATGCCCCACACTGGTTGTGGGATTGAGCCCACAACCCAGGCATGTGCCCTGACTGGGAATCGAACCGTGACCACCTGGTTCATAGGTCCACGCTCAACCACTGAGCCACGCCAGTCGGGCTGAAAATAAGTTTTAAATAAATTCTGATGTTGGGGGAAAAAATGAAAACTAAAAACTAAGAACTTTTGTGCTTTAAAGGACACCATCAAGAAGGTGAAAAAACAATGCACAGAAGAGAACATTTTTACGAATCGCGTATCTGATAAGGGACTTGTATCTAGAAAATATAAAGAGCTCCTACAACTCAATCATAAAAAGATAAATTACCTATTTTTAAAATGGGCAAAAGATCTGAATAGACATTTCTCCAAAAAATACACAAATAGACAATAAGCTCATGAAGACATACTCAATGTCATCAATCATAGGGGAAATAGGAATCCGAACCACAGCGAGATACTAATTCATGCCCTCTAGTGCAGCTACAATAAAAAGAAATTAGCTAATAACAATTGTTGTGAAGATCCAGAGGAACCGGAGCCCTCACACTACCGGTGGAAATGCAGACTGGTGCGGCCACTCTGGAAAATAGTTTTGGCAGTACCTCCAACAGTTAAACAGAGTTATCCTATGACCCAGCCATTTCACTCCTAGGTAGACATCCAGGAGAAATTAAACAATAGCCACACAGAAACTTGCACAGGAATGCTTAGAGCAGCCTATTCATAATATCCCCAAAGTGGAAACAGTCTCAATGTCCATCAATGAATGAATGGGTAAACAAAACGTGGTATACCCACACAAGAGCATATGAGCCAGCCATAAAAAGAAGTGAAGTACTGACTCATAGTACAACATGGATGAACCTTACGAAAACATACGTGGTGAAAAGAAACCAGTCATATGATTGCATGTATATGGAAAGTCCAGGCGAGGCAAACCCAGAGAGACAGAGAATAGATCGGTGGTTGCCTAGGGCTGGCGTAGAGGAAGCTGGAGGAAATAGGGAGGAAATGCTAATGGGTACCGGGTTTCCATTTGGGGCGATATAATTAATTATGCTGATAACTACACAACTGTGAATACAATAAAAACCAGTGAATTGTATACTTTAGGTGAATTACATGGTATATGAATTACGTCTCTATCACTGTTAAAAAAACAAACAAACATGAATAAGGAATTCAAATGTTTCGGATCCCAGAATTAAAGAGGAACATTAGCCCTGGCGGGTGTGGTGCTCGGTTGGTTGGGCGTCGTCCTTTGCACAGAAAGGTTGCTGGTTCAATGCCCAGTCCGGGTCGTGCCCAGGTTGGGGACTTGATTCCCCTGTAGGGAGCGTGCAGGAGGCAGCCGGTCGATGTTCCTCTTTCACATCAATGTTTCTTTCTCTCTCTCCCTCTCCCTTCCTCTCTCTCTAAAAATCAATAAAAAGTCTTAAAAGAAAAAAAAAGGAACATGAATAAGTCTATAGCGTAAGACATGAGGCCAAGTAGGCTATCCAGGCTTCCCAAAGAGTTCCCAGCACACAGAGAGCTCTTCTTCCAGCCCCGCGTAGAGTGGATCCTCTGTCCACTCAGGCTTCTCAGCGAGGGTCAGAGGAGAACAAGGGGCAGGTGGAAATCCCCCAACAGGAGACAGAGGAAATCGACGTGCTCGTGAGCGCCTAGGCACACCCAGGGGAGCACTATGGCACCCAATCTGACTGGGCACACATGCCCCCAGGAATGCTGTGGTTCAGAGGACATGCCTCAGCTCCTGGGCTCACATACTTTGGCTTCTCCATGCTGGCTACTCCAGCCAGGCAGCGTGGAGGGGAGGCGTCCGGGGCCATATCAGCCCCAGGGAGAATCCAAAGACTAGTTCTGCTTGTCCAGAAGGGGGGAACTCTTCCCACCTGGAATGCCACTCCAGCCAGGGCAGGCGAAGGAAGAAAAGGATCCAAGAGGGCTCAGAATCCACCAGAAGAGTAAATGGAGGACACGAGCCTGGTGTAGCAAAGGCCACTTGGTGCAGAGTCAGGCCAGGGGGACCCTTTTGTTGGTGCAGTCCCCCTTAGGCACAAAGCTCAAACTTGTCAAGGCCATGGGATACTCCAGGGAAGCAGGCAGCTAGCCCCTTCCCTTCATCCTTAAGCTCCAGCGTGCCCTAACCCCAACCCAGGCTACAGGCCAACAGAACAACAGGGGTTTGGGGCCAATATGCAACTCTGATCTGACCTTCTGGAGTCTTCTCCCCACAACTAGATCCAGGACAGGGAAGAACAGAAAGCTGGGAGAAGAGCTGCCTTCCCATCTGCCCCGGGTGAGACCCCCACCCTCATGTCTGGACAAGGGCAGTAGCCTTCCAGCTGCCTTCCTCGCTGCCCTGCTTCTCCCGGCCTAGGACATTCTCAGCAACACCAAGAAAATTCTTCTCCCCAACATGTTATTTTGGTCAGCAGGGTCATTACCAGGGGAACATAGAGCCTCAGGGCAAACCATACCACTCAGTGTTCCCAGCATCAACATCCTGTATTTTAAATTATGGTTCTTTTTTCCTGGTTAGAAGAGCAATGCATGTCCACTGTAAAACATTTGAAACGAAGTATACATAAAGGATAAAATAAAAAACACCCTGATATAACCATGTGACCATTTCGATATATTTCCCTTTAACTTTTTTCCTATAAATACCTATAACTTAATAACAAAATTGGGATCATATGCTAAATATTGTTTTATAAACTTTTTCTTTTTTGCTATATTATAAATGTTTTCTAATTTCATATTCATCTTCAACATAGTTTGTAATGACTATCTGGTCCATATTTTATGCATTTCTTTGAGGTTGGGCCTCAGGGCCTTTCATTTATTTATTTTTTAAAAATATTTTTATTGATTTCAGAGAGGAAGGGAGAGGGAGAGAGAGAGAGGAACATCAATGATGAGAGAGAATCATCGATCGGCTGCCCCCTGCACACCCAACACTGGGATGGAGCCTGCAACCTGAGCATGTGCCCTGACCGGGAATGGAACCAAGACCTCCGGGTTCATAGGTCAATGCTCAACCACTGAGCCACACCAGCCGGGCCCTCAGGGCCTTTTTAATTTTTATCATAAACAACCAATGAGCATCCTTAAATGAACATCTTTGAAGATAAATATATGTGCATATAGCTATTATTTCCTTAAGATAAAGTCCCGAAAGAGAATCGGTTGTCATACTCTGTGCCAAATTGCCTTCTAGAACACTTATACCAATCGATTTTCCCACCAGCAGCATAGTAGAGTGCCTGTTTCACTGTAGCCATTCCAACATTGTTCATTACCATTATTTTTAATATTTGCCACTTCACCAATATCCTGCTGTGGTAAAATCCATTTCTTTGAGGATGTGAATGAAATGAATTAGTGACTGATGTCTGTTTCTAAGTAACCTGGATGGTGGGTGGAGGCAGAAATGAAACAGGAATGGCCATGCGCTGATTAATTGTTGAACTTGCAAGATGGGTCTGTGGGGTTCATTGTACTATTCTCTCCAATACCATCTATATTTAAATTTTCCATGACTAAGAAAACTTTAAAATTTAAAATACATACATTTATTTAATTACTGGCTTTGAACGTTTTTCTACAGTTTTAAAAGTCATTTATATTCTCCATTTGTCCTTTTTTCCCCATAAGGATGTTAATATTTTTATATTGATTTTGATTAGGCTCTTTATATATAAGGCAGTCACAGTTTATTCATACACTGCAGGTATGTTTTCCTAGTTTGCCATTTAACTTCTTAGTGCATGGCTTTTTTTACCAACAGAAGTGTTGAAAGAGGAAGTCAAAGTGTTTTTCAGCTTTTAGCATTTCTGTCAGGTGAAATCTCTCTGAAAAGAACATCAAGAATGACCTTGACCAATGAAACCCAAAGCATAAACATCCTGGCAGCCGTGGACACAGAAGCATAACAAGCACAGCAGAAGAGAGGGTTTCCCTGTGGATACTGATTATTTTTAAATGTTAATACTAATTGTGTGATCTTTTAAGCCACTTCCTTCCCTTCCTCCCAAAGCTGTCCTGCCTGCCAGAAATTTCCCCATTTGTTGTGCCCAGGGGCGGCATGATCAAAGGATTTTCCTTATTATTAAGTGGTGGTATATAATAATATATAGCATGATTATATTAATATAATAATATGTTATTATAATATAATGGCATCATTATAATAGCAACTATTTGTAATATCTACTGTATATATTATCTTAAAAACCCTCCAAACAGGCCTAGCTGGCGTGGCTCAGTGGTTGAGCATTAACTCATGAACCAGAAGGTCACGATTTGGACACATGCCCAGGTTGAGGGCTCGACCCCCAGTGTGGGGCGTGCAGGAGGCAGCCGATTGATGATTCTCTCTCATCACTGATGTTTCTATCTCTCTCTCCTCCCTTCCTCTCTGAAATCAATAAAAAAATATATTTTTTAAATTAAAAAACAAACCTCCAAACAACCGTAATGGGGCAGGTATCACTTTTTAACCTCACATAATGGTTAAAACACTTTAGGATTAGAAAAGTCATGGAACACCCCCAAGCTGGTAAGGGTCAAATTTGGGATCCAAAGCAGGTCAAGTTTATGTGCACAACTGTTGGGCTGCTCTGTACACACTCAGTTGGGCCCCAAAGCAAAGACCCTCACACCTCTCATGCGTCTGTGTCCTTGTGCAGCGTCTGTCTGCTCTTCCTCTGATCCTCCTGTTAGACCCATCGGCTCCTCCCCACCCCGAACTTCCCTGGCTGACCTCCCATGGTCCTGGGCCACACCATCACGTGGACTCTCCTGTTTCATCTTCCCACCTGAGTCTCCTCCTCCCACTGGTCTCCACGCCTCTCCTTCCTC